TGCTTTGCTGCTCAAAATTTATAATACATATATGGACTCACTCTTACACGTACCCTGATTGGTCCAAATTGGTCCAATAGCGTGCGCTATTTCACTAGTCAACGAACGCTATTGGCACCCGCCAAAGAAACCACAATAACTAATTTTTGTCACTTGATTCACGTAAAATCAAACTTTACAWGTCAATTGACATATAACTTGTGGGCTCAACAGTTTTTGGAATGAATTCTACTCGCAGATTGCCCAGTAACCATAGAAACTTGTGGATTCCTCACTCACTCTATCCTTCACTTTCAAGTAAACTTATAATAAAAGAGCTCGCATAATACCTACCTCTAAGATGTTTTGGGAAGAGTTATATCTGTCTGCATAGACGTATGTACTTATCAGGGAATTGACGTTGAGTTCACGAGCTATTTTGCCAATTCTGGTTTCTAAGGAAACACTGCTGTCGAAGTTGTTCAGGATTCCCCAACCTCCATACTTGATAATGAGTTTCATTAACTGCATGGTTCCCATGGACGCATCTTCACTGGTGTTCAAACACGACTTGTAAAAACGTACTGTCTTCATTATGGCGTCGTCGSTCTGTTTAAAGAGATGGATGAATTTAGACCTCTTGCATATGACGTTAAAGCCTGGTTCATCTAGAGGACAAAACAAAGGATTTCTGACCTCTTGGGAACTAGAATCCATTGTGTCGTCCTCCAGTTATATTTGCATTCCCACAACTGCAAGGGGTCTATACAAATAAACAAAGGAAAAGAGAGACGTGCTACTACAGTCAACTCTCGCGCCTTACGGACACCCCGCTACAACGGTAACCCCGATATTGCGGACAGTAAAATACTGAATCCTCGTYGAAAAATACAAAGAAATGACTGAAAGTAACTCTCGTTACTACAGACTCTCGCTACTGCGGACACTAAATTACGGTCCCGAGGGTGTCCGTTAYAGCGAGAGTTGACTGTATTGCTGCGATGCTGATGCCGCCTATTGCCGTTGATGCAAGTGTTCTGCTGCTATTGCTACTACTGCAGTTGTTCTACTAATATCACTGACCCTACGTACTCAAGTTGSCACAACAGCTAGTGCTGACAGTTTCTACAGTATTTATCAAAGTAACGATATAATCATCCGGATGGATGTTGCCGTTTTGAGAAGAACCGTTTGATGTGACGGACGTTTCGACAACCTCTGCGGCGGTCATTTTCAAAGCCAAGTGAAGGAAACAGTCAGATATATATGTTAACATATGACCCGTATTTCGGCCATAAGCGCGCTCTTAAAAAACCTTGGGGAAATGTTCACGTGATGGGGTCGTACGCCTTTTCGCGACAGGCCGCCGTACAAACCCGTATTTTCCCGGCTTGAAGTTCCGCGCGCTTTTTTTTATTTTTTACATTAAAAACGCTGTCATATGATAAAATGCTTATTGACTGAGTTAGGTCGGGCCGTATACGGGAAAATATTTGGCTCTCGGTCATTTGTACGGACCTCGCTTCGCTCTTTCTGTACGGCATAACCTCGAGCCAAATATTTTCCTGTACGGCACTCAGTCAATAAGTACACTTATTATTTGCCGGCTGGGAGTTCCGTATAGGAAAACGCTGCCCGAGGTCTTGACAGTACGGAACGAGCGCAGTGAGGTCCGTACATAAAAGACCGAGGCCAGTTTTTTTCCTATACGGACCGACCAATAGCCGGTAAATAGCATTTTTAGTTTTTTATTTGTATTTTCGGCAACTTTGCTCGCTACCTAGCTGCAGGATACCTTGGACCGCCGGGGCAGATCGTGAAAAACCGGACCGCGCTCTAGCCAATCACAGCGCGCGAATGACTAGGATACCGGACCGAAAAAAAATAATAGGCCTTATTTGTACTCCTACGCTAAAGAACTGGTGTTACGTAATTAGCGGTTTGGAAAATGACTACCGCAGAGGTTGTCGAAACGTCAGTCACATCAAACAGACAGTTCTTCCTTGAATTGCATCATCCACCCGGATGATCATATTGTTACTTAGATAAATATTCATTCATCAGGGTTCAGACCTTATAAGACTATAGTTTCTACAGTATTCACTGCACCTTTGAGTAGTTAACCGAAGCCTTGTTAAGAGCATCTATCAACACGCCATAGTTCTTTTCCTTTAATAGTTTAAATACGCTATTATATGCAGTTTTGTTATCCAGCGGATTTCTTTCCGGCCATCTRCCACATGCGTACGCATAGAAATCTTCACAGGGATTCACACTTTGATTCATATTAAGAACCATTTCTACAAAGAATATTAGCAATACGAAGTTAACGATAAAGTGAGTGAGTGAGGAAGCGAGTGAGTGGCAAAATATCCTTTACTAACAATCTATGAGGGATAGAACAAACGCAGGAAAACTATGAAATAAAATCTAAAAACTAAATACTAACTAATAGCGGCTATTTGCTAAATAGAGATAGAGATAGTTTGTCAATTTCAATGAACCAGAACGCAATCAAGATGAATCCACATGGGACCATATTTCATTTATCTTTTTTGCGTTCTGGTTCATTGATACTGACAATTTGTCTCTAAATAGCCGCTATTTGTAAGTACTTAGTTTGATTTTATTTCATGGTTTTTCTACGCATTTGCTCTATAATCAAAATATAAACAACTGCAAATAAAATTACGCGCTTGGAGCTTGGAATACTTATGTATACTTCATGAATCACTGACATGAATCAACTCAAGTTCTTGAGTTWCGCGGAAAAAAAATTCAATTCAACACCAGAACGTCTGMGCAATAGAYTSAAATTATTGTAAAAACCCTCAATCAAAGTATATATGAGCTTTTTCTCAAATGAATAGAGACCGATTGGTGACAATAGAAAAGGCGTGGTCGTTCTGCTAGCATACCTCTTAGYACTTCTAAAGATACAAAGTTTTCAGAGCTGTAACTAATTTGATGCTAGTCACTATACAGCTAGTAATTTGATAAGAAGATTCGCCTGTCATTGCCATCTTTTTACAAGTCATGTTATTATAGTGGTGTAGACCTCAGGAATGGCAAGGTTAAATTAGTCTTGAAGTATGTATTTGCGTCATCAGTCACCTTGGGAACTTCATCAGATGGCCACTTCATGAATTTCAGACCAACTTAAAGTCATGTAAAGTGCTTATGCCTTCATTGCATAAATTTGCTTAGCGTCATAAACTGACTAGGCATCCTGTCTAGACAAACCATGTTCCGTTCATTGATCAAGTGGATCAGTCAAAACGAGCAAGTSTTGATGACACCATCACCTTGTTAGTCAATTTAAGGTAGACGCAAAAACCGTTAATTTTTTAAAAGAATGCGCAAGAAGTCAACACGCAGAAACGTATTTATAGGGAGAGACGGTATATAGTTATAAAGTACTTAAGCTAATTTAGAAATCAGATTTTAGATTAGACAAGTTATGTATTTAGCAATTAATATTCACTTAGAAACATAGACGCTTTAGTTTCTCTGAGATACCTTTGCCAATCTCGAAGCAAGGCCCCCTGTCACATATTTCATATTCCTTTCTTGGTTCTTCAGGGAGCACTYGACGCGACTTTTTAACGGCGTGTGCGTACAAAACTGCTAGGACTATGCAAATTACTARCAGAACAACACACACAACRACCAWSAWSAYYA